ACAAACTGACAACTCTGTTCTCTCTAAAACTACTTTTATAGTTTTATTTATATTTTGTATTTCAGTAAGTGTTAGATATTACATCCATTCTTTACTTCCAGTAGCTCTTTCCCTAGAGCTTCAGGTTTTAATGATCAGGCAAATGTTGACATGGTGGTTCATCTTCTTCCCCCACCATACTACATTCTCCCATCTTTTATCTCTAAGTCATTTCCTTTCCTCTTTTTGCTATAAGTCTAACACCCATAAACTCCCCCCCCTCCCCGCAGGTCTGCGGAAACATGATGTTTGCTTTCTGATCACGGTGCGCCCCATGCTGCTCTACGGCACACGTTTTGACCGGCGTCAGCCATTTGTGGATCAGACTGGCCTTGTGTATGTGAGAGGCTGTGAGGTGCAGGGTATGCTGGATGACAAGGGGCGTGTCATCGAGGAAGGTATGCTCATATGCATTTGCGCCTGTATACGTAGGCTCACGCACACAGCAGTGACACCTGACATCCATCCACCTATCAGATCTGTACACCGTCAGCCCTAGCAGCTAATCCTCAGGAGAGGGTCAGACTGGTGTTGTCATGGTGACTGTCACTGTGAAACCTGGCCTTTTTCACCTTAAGACTTCATTAACCTGTGGTCAACAATGACACCTGAGAGCTGCTGGCTCTCCTCTTTGTTCTACTTATTGGATTTAACTGAAGGGCTTGCTCTGGTTTGCTTTATCTATAAGAGGGCACTTAATGTACTTGTCCTGCAGAATTAAGTAATGTGGTACATAAGCTACAATCACCTTAGATGAAAGTATTGCCAACAGCAGTAGATTGTGAAATTTAAAAAAAAAAACATTTCTGCAACAGTCCTTAAAGTAATCTTGGCTGATTCAGGTTGCAAGTGTGGGAGTCAGAACATGTGTACATGTGTTGAAACATCCTTCCCTTATTCTTTCATGACGTTTTAAATATGCAGAGGGGAAGGGTTTTAGAAATAGACATGCTGGGGAACATGTCCTGGCAATGTTGGCTTGTTTAAACTTTCAGCTTCCCAACAGGGATAAGTGGTACTTTGGCTTGCTGTGTGGAGGGGAGATGTCACATAAATCACTGGGCATTTGGTGAATGTACGGGGGACACACAGGGCAACATGTGCATTTTGGGACACTCGTAACTAACTGACATACCATTTTATAAAACTGCTCAAGTGTAGAACATTTATATGAGCTACGATGGTTTAAATGTATTTTTAATGACTTGAACAATGTATGTCCCTTTACATTAAGTATTGAGTTAATCCCACCTTTTAATAACTGACAACTTGATACAAAGGCATAAATATCTTTTATAACAGCTGAGACACCTTACTCCAGCTCGCTACATTGTTACTGAATAGTGTGGAGGGTGTAGCTTCCACTCTTAAGCTATCACCACACTCATTTTGGTAAGGTGGATTTTATTGATCCCCACATAACTGTGCACATTTGCACATGGGAACACATGTCAGAATTGGAGTGGATTGGTTTCTGCTATGTGCCCTGCAGCTCCACACAGATTCTATTTAGAAATCTGTGATAACTGCACACTGCACCACACAGGCCCCCTAATGGGAATAGACCTAAAGCCCATGGCCAGTCAATCAAGTGTAATGTAATTCCTCTTCCTGAGAAGGCATTGAAAGTCTTAGCTCTTTTTAAAGGGTTTTATTTTTTAATTTGAGAATATATGAGTTTAATTACTTTGACTTGCTCACAGTGACTCACTTAACATTGATCTTTATTCTTTTTCTCTGTCCTTAGTTTTACTTTCCTGTGTTTAGGATTAGGATAAAACTTTCTAACAATGTTTCTAAAATGCTATACTGTTTCTGATTTTTTTTTAAGGTTATTTTTTTCATTATTTCATTGCTATAATATATAATCCTTGGTACTTTGGTTTAGGTCCTGAACCAAAGCCTAAGCTGCGTGGAGATGTCAGAACATTTCGTGTATGGCTTGACCCAAACCAGTACCAGCAGGACATGACCAGCAGTATTCAGAGTAACACCGAAGACCCATATGAGACTTTCAACATCATCATGAGACGCAAACCTAAGGAAAACAATTTCAAGGTTTGGATTGCTTAAGCTTCAAACCTTGAGTTCTGCTTCTGTCAACATTGCCCTGAGTGATGTATCACTGTCTTTAGTGTTCTATCTCTGAGATTGGGGCCAGGGTGACTCTGAGGTTGCCACACAATGAGTCCTTTTCAGTGGTCCCTCTAACTCTCGTCCAAGGCTTTTCTTGTAGCAGTAAACTCGCAGTGTTTCAAAATGTTGTGATGCTTTCTGTGAACTATCTTGACTGGGGTACACAGTCAGTGTAACATGTTCTTAGAAAGTTAACAAAATGCAAACCTCAAGTTTTGATTTCAAGACCTGTTACACAGATTTCACATCATGGAATTGAGGTCATGATAAAATCAAACCTGTGAGTACTGAGACCTTTATTAATGGTTTTAGGTAGCTTGGCGTCATTAGATTGTTAACTGGCATGAAGAAAACATCCCCCTCATCTCTTTCTTTAAAAGCTTTTCATTAGAGCATTTCAGATCTGCTAATTCTAATTCTGCACATCAGTTTCTGTCTTTCACAGCCACAGCAATTACAGATGTTTTTGCTTTTTTTCTGAATTTGAAAAGCGCAGCAGCTAACATATTCAGGCAACATCTCCATCTTTGAAGCATGACAGACCTAAAAGTAAACACGCTTCCCCGTTTGATGCACAAAGTATTAGACAGTTTGCAGCTCATTAAAATATAATTGACAGACTTATAAATTATCTGCTGTCCCATCAGTCTGCCACAAAGCTATTCTTACCCAGCTTTTGTGTCTGTTTTGTGCTCAGTGTCATCTGTAACATGTTTCTCTCTCTCTGTTTCAGGCTGTGCTAGAGACCATCAGACATCTGATGAACACAGAATGTGTCGTCCCAGACTGGCTTCATGACATCATCTTAGGTTATGGTGACCCGGGCAGCGCACATTATTCAAAAATGCCCAATCAGATCTCAACGTTGGACTTCAACGACACCTTTTTGTCATTGGACCACTTGCGTTCATGTTTCCCTGGTAACACCATAAAGGTCACTGAGCAGAACCCTGAACTTCAGGTTCCCCCATTCAGGTGAATTTTAAAAGAAAAATGTTTTGTTTGATCAATCTTAATCAGAATCTGTTTGCGTAACCATATTTATATAATTGTTTATATATTGTTAAATATGTCATAATACATGATATTTATCCTTCTTATTCTCTCTTTTGCTGTACCAGAATCACATTTCCCACCTCAAACACAGCAGACAAAGGAAAGAAAAGAAAGGCTGATGAAGAAGTGGAAAACAAAGAGGAAGACAAGACCTTGATTGTTGAACCCTATGTTACCCCCAATCGTGGGCCATATCCCTACAATCAGCCCAAACGGTGAGAGATCAATACTCGAACCTTTCCATTTATCATTTAATAAGATTTACTGTCAAGTAATTGTACAGTGCACTGATTTGTTTCTGTAATGCAATTACACCTTCTACTCACATTGTATAGTACACTAATATATTCTTGAGTTCCACACCTATTTATTTTTTATAATCTTATGCATATTAAGTCCTTAACCTGTTATTCAAAGACTTCATGTCAATATAAGAAGTGTGGAGGTGCAAATCTCGTAAGCTATGCGCATCGTAGGTACCCTACACTGAGCTACTAATCTATTCTGATTTATTTGTCTATGATCGTTTCCATGGTATCTGATGTGTTTAGGATGTAATATTGTGGTGCTGTTTTGGTTGGTGTTATGCATGAAATTAATGGGAAATAGAAGGGGCTGTAATATTCCTGTACTAATTACAACAACCCAAAATAATTGTACTACATGAAAAGTTGAGATTCATCCTATGCTTCCTGAGCATTTTCAGTTTGCACTTTGATATTCAAATCTTGATAGCAACAGCATGTCTGTGGGGAGGCCCTGACTTAGCAATCTTTCAGTGTGATTTCCAAATGCATCTCAACACTTGAAGCACAAAGCATCTCTTAGAAAAACAAATGAAGTCATTTGAATACAAATAGGTTTATGCTTCCAAGGGTATTCAGTATCAAATTACTTGATTCATAAATTTCAAGCATGTATGTGTCTTACAGGAACACAATTCCATTCACTTCTACTCAAATTGAAGCCATTCGAGCCGGGATGCAGCCAGGTCTAACAATGGTAAGAATCCAGTGTTTGATTTTAGTTTCAAGATTGTGTGGAAGCTATCTATTTAAAATGATATTTTCTTATTATGTATTTGACAAAAAAACAACTAACTCATCTCTGTCTTGTATACTTATGGAAAACATCAAGTTTCACTAAAATTCTCTGTGTACTTTTGAGGAGTACACATTGACTATATCAGTGAAATAGTCAAAATAGGATTAAAGCCACCAGTTGACATCCACAACCACAAAGATTTCACCCCAACCTGCTATTTTTATGTTAAAAGTTGTTTAACACACTGTTGTGACAAGAGTGCTGTTCTGTTGTGGTGACTGGAAACTGGCAGTGGGATCAAAGTTATTTATTGCACAGCTAGCTGAGGTAAATATGGCAAGAAGGCTATCACCAGAGCCATAAAACAACTCTGTATGCATGCCTTCATCTGCCACTCACTTCACCCCTTCTAACCTTCCTTCTTGGCATATGTCACAGTCATTAGCAGCCATAACAAGCACACACTACCTCCTGGTCTGCCTAGCTTTCATGTAGAGAAACGAAGGAGCTGATTACGCACTGATTTATGCATGAATGTGTAATTGTGCTTACTAATTTTAGCAGAGATTACTCACCTGAGAGACCCACACTAAGACCAACCTGTTTCATGAGTATTAATTTAGTAAATGTAATGTGCTGTTCCCCCCCAGGTAAGTAAATTTGGAGCTTATTATCATGATAACTTGTAAACCAGGAGAGGCTTGAAAATATTTATCCCTCCTCTGTTCCTCCTACAACTTTCTTCTTTGTTTCGCTAGCTATGTTCCCTACCTTTATGTGGATATCACTGGCTTAGGTCTACCTTTGTAATCTACAGAAATGTTGCCTTTGCAATCTAACTTCCAATTTCTTATTTTTTTATGTCCTACAGTTAAAATGCTTAATTTCTTCTGACATAATCCCATTTTTACTTCGTTCCTCCAGGTTGTGGGACCACCGGGTACTGGAAAGACCGATGTTGCCGTTCAGATCATCTCAAACCTGTATCACAACTTCCCTGAGCAGAGGACCCTCATAGTCACACATTCAAATCAGGTCAACACTCCCCTCCATATACGCACACAGCATCTCCACGTGCAAGTCTGATCTCTGAAAAGTTTCTATAACACATTGATCAACTAAATGTAAAGTTGTCAAGAGAATTTAAAGCTTGTTCTCAGAACTGCCCATTAATCAGGCAAGAGTCATATTCTAACCATGGAGGAGAAATTAAAAGCTAAGCTCCCTTGTGCCTTGGTCTTTTCCCCTCAGTATTTAATCATAAAGTAATCTTTAGCTGCTTTAAACTAAGGGGAAGCATGACAGAAGGAACCTTAAACACCAGAAGTATAGTTTGATGATAAGTATTTTCCTGTGTAAGACTTTGCACACCCTCCCAAATTATTTTATTGACTTAACTTAAGTATATTACATACAAATGAAAGAGATTTTTTTTCATTCCACATCAGGCTTTGAACCAACTCTTTGAAAAGATCATGGCCCTAGACATTGACGAGCGCCACCTTCTGCGTCTGGGCCATGGAGAGGAAGAGCTGGAGACTGAGAAGGATTTCAGCAGGTGAGCAAAGCAGATAACAGGTGGAAGATGACAGACACAAATGGGTACAGCTAACCAAACAGTACTGCATATGTGAAAACTGAGACATGATTTCCCACAAGTGATGGTGCATTCAAGAAATATTCAGAGTTACTGTGTATCTAAATTGCAGAGGCAACTCACATCCATTAATGCCATCTCCCACATACACAGTAGGTCTGAGTCAATACACTGACAGAGCTGCTACACTCTCATATGTCAGGCTTTGGACCTGATTTATTTTCACTAGGCATTGTTGGACTCTCAGTCCTTTCCACCAGCCTAAGGGATCTGTCTCAGCAGCCATGCACTTAGAAGCAGTACATGCCCAAGTAACCCATTCATAGCTATTCTGGACCACAACAGTTGATTGGTTGGTTCTGCCCCAGTTTTTAAAATAAATTTTAATAAGATAGCAGCAGGCCATGTAGAGAGAATTATATGGATTTACCACTGTTTGGAGCATTTGCATGTTTTCCTTAATATTATAGGATATTTGCGCTGTGATAAAAAAGCACCTGGTGATGACATGTTGTGAGCTGGCACTATAGAAGTCAAGTAAATAACTTAATACATAGTAAGAAGTATCTAAATAAATAATTAAGATCACTGGTGATAAGTCAGATGGAAAAGTAGCAGTAGTAATGTCCTTAATCTACTTCAAGAATAGAAAGATCTTAATTAGGAATTATCAACAGTGTAATAAATTCCTAAATGAATCAAAATACCCAAAACTTAGGAATGTTTATTTTGTTCAGGTCAGGAAGAAACCATTTTTAAATCAGTGGTGATTTGATTATCTGAGTATAATCAAATACATGCAACACCCAGGCTTAACACTAGTTGTAAATGCAAAAATGGAGGCAGGACACAGAACACACCGCAGATGAGACTCACTGGTCCTCATAAGGAAGTCCCAGTGTTTCCCAACTCTCTTGTATATGCTTGTTCCTAGTATGTCTAATGCCTTTAAGGATAGTGACTCAGTACTATTGAGACGTAGTAAGATAGCATGAAAAAGTAGGTGGGGGACACTGTACTCATGGCACACTTCAGAAAACCAGAGTATCACAAAATACTCAAAACATGTACAGTTTTATATAATCACTAATGTATTTAACACTTTAATAAATGTACCAGCCGGAAACTTTTTTTTCACCACAGGCAGCGCTCTCCTGCCACCTCCTGAATATAAATAGCTCAGTGTCACTGAATTTTAATAAATTTTTTATGCTGTTACTATTTAAAGTGTTCTCATACCCTACAATGTTAATTACCATCTCATCCATCCATGGCACTGAGCAAATTGCACCCTATAGCTCTCAGCTTTCCTTAAGGAGCGAGGGAGGAGTTACACATGCCTCTCATTTGCTGTACCCTTTGTATGACTGCTGTCTACTGGGAGTGCATGGTTGTAGTATGAATGTTGATTTATGGAAACTGGGCATCCGCACATGAAGGCAGTCTCATGCGTTCTTAAATTATGCAGCAACACAGACATAAAAGAAAGAGCTCTAGCTAGCAGCAGTCGACATGTTCCCGCTTGCCCAGTTGCCTCACAACAACATGCCGACTCCACACTTCTTCCACCCCACTGACACCAGAATGAGGAGAGAGCCAGAGAGTTTTAATTAACACTGTACATGAGATAAAAAAAATGGACGGCAGTGCTTTTCTGAGTGCTTAACAAAGGGGGAAGCTACAGCCTTAATTAACAATGCCTCCATGCATTTCATGAAAGTTTTGTGCCATTTTAATGAGTTTTAGAAGGGGGATCTTGGTGATGGCTTAAGGAAGCCCTTGTTTAGTTTTGGATGGTCTACATTTGCACCCCAGGTTGTCAAGATCATTTTATGATTCCAATTTAGGGCAGAAAATGAAATACACCATTCTCATTCAGATGTAGGGCTGGGCGATATGGCCTAAAATTCATATCGCGATATAATTTGAAGCATGTGTGGTAAAGATATATATCACGATATAGTCTTTTCTTCTGTAACATATTTTACACACTATAAGGCACACTTAAAATCCTTTAATTTTCTCAAAAATCAAGAGTGTGCCTTATGTATGAATTCTGGCTGTGCTTACTGACCTTGAACCGATTTGGGCGTGCAGAAATCTGTTAAAAAATGTTTTAGTACAACTTTGGTAAGCCGCACCGCTTGATGGATTGCAGAGCATTACGGCTGCCGTAGTGAGGAGCTTCGCGGAGTAATCTGGGTCCAAAACTCCGTCCAATTCAGGTCCCAAAGTCAAACGGACACTAAGAGTTAAAAAAATGTCTAAATTCTTTCATCTTTAACAAAATCATCAGCGTTGCTGCTTTATCGGGTGTAACAAATACGTTTTACATCCAGGCATCCATAAAAACAGAATTTATTAAATTTAACGGAGTTAGAAGTTAACAGGAAGTTAGCTCGCTGGTTTACACCTAAACATTTCATACCATGTTCTGACATACCATGTTCTCTGCTACAACTTCCAACATAAATGAAGACATAAAACTAAACAGCAGTGGCGTTTGCAGGGTTACTGAAGGACTACCTGGTATATAATGTTGTGCTACGTGATTGTTAGCTACACAGCTATGTTAGCATAACATTAGCACAGTGAAGCTGGGGGATGAACGCCAACTTTTTTTTCCACTCGATAAAAGTTGACGTGAGGGATTCTGGTGGTCAGGGACAAATGCAATCGCATAGCAGGATGCTATACACGGGCCAAACTTCAGTCAGGAGAACAACTGAGATTATTCATCCACATTAGGAGGTTAGTTAGGTTAGTGAAATAGAGCAGCTGCGAGAGAATTCAACATTAATGAATCAATGTTACGGAAGTGGAGGAGGCGCAGTTTTTGGCTTTCCCCATATTTCAAGAGTGCTTCATCTCTTTGCTATGACTGTCGCCCGCCATAATTTGCAGATGAAAATGGTTTTAGCCGCTGCGATGCTTTCGACCAAAACAGGCGCAGCTTGATGACATCATCAACATGCGCTATCGCGATAGAGCGATATAGTCAAAATCTCTATCGTTGGCCAAATTTATATCGTTTCTATCGTATATCCTTTATATCGCCCACCCCTATTCAGATGTTTTACATTTATCAGAGTTTACAAAAGAACTAAGACAGACTTGTAGATTAATGTACACTGCACATGCAGTATACCTTTGTATCTATTTTAGGCTTTCGGTGAGTGTATTACAGGTGTGTCATCCTAAGAGGCAACGTCACTTCTCACTTTTATTTAATTTTACTCAGGCAGAACATTGTGATCGTCTTTGAGTCATCTGCTGACCGAGAATCTTTGGAGAGGGTCTAAAAATAGTGTTCACCTCTAGTGTTACCCGGTAACCCCTCCTTCTTCCTGTCTGTTGTCTCACTGCCATCTGATGACATTTTTCAGCAGTATTGTTTAGCTGCATAATGAGATGTATGTTAGAACGTAAAAAAGGAAGTATATCCCCAGGTGACCATAACCAGACAGCCAATATCCTGCACAGTCAAGTCAGTAATCACAAGACCCTGTCTCACATGTTTGCCAGAAGTTGCAGTCTGAGATTTTCTTATTGCTCAATTGCACGTTTAACTACGTGCTGCTATGAGTCATGCATGCAGGTCACGAGACATGCTGGTTTAGGTCATGACCATTGTTGGATTTATTACTCATTTCCTGTTTACTTTATGTAGAATTTGTTACAAATTACTTTTCTGTTTCTCCTGGAGATTGGAGGGTATGGATTTTTAAATGCCTGTTAAACCTTACACATACATAAAACCCAATCAGGATGATATAAATAAGAGTTATTATTTAAGTTTTATTACAAAACCAGCAGTTAAGTTGAAAGCCAGCGCTAACAGAAAAATATGGACGAGCAAACAGATGTTCCTCTGCTATGTACAACAGTTTTACTCATCTCTAATTCTGTTATGCGGTACAAATTAATTTTCGGCCATTGAACGTTAGTGTAACTAATCAAACATACACTAGTTATTATGCCATGTTTTTTTTTCTGGGTGTACATAGGAAGTGTGATTTCGATTAAATATCACTCTTGGGTCATGTTGTGAAAGCTTGTTATAGCTGGCTCATCGTTCCAACTGCCTTCTTATTTTTACAGGGGTTAACCGTTTAGATTGTTGACTAACACTCCTGTGCTTTCCTCAGATATGGAAGGGTAAACTACGTCCTGGCCAGAAGACTGGAGCTTCTCCGAGAGGTGGGAAGGTTACAGGAGAGCTTGGATGTCCCAGGAGATGTTTCTTATACCTGTGAGACTGCTGGACATTTCTACCTCTACCAGGTAAGACTGTGAATAGCTGCAATCTAAATTAGCAAGTATAGGCAATTGTCCACTGCAGACATCTGTGTTTATCCTCCAGTGTCAGAAACACCTGGAGGAACTCAGGGTAGGGAAAAAAAAAAAAGATCTGATACTTTTCACTGCCCCCAAACATTGGTATCTGGCCTTGATGTTGATAAACTTGCAACAAATGGTAATTTTTAAAAGACAGTAATCAGTGAGAAACAGGATGAAAAACTCAAAACATCAGCATCAACATCCTAAAAAATTACTGTGCAGATAGAAAGCCCATTTCAGTTTTCTCAATTGCTTTATTGTTTTGATATCACACACACACACAGTTATGGATATGACTTGTGTTGTTTTGGTGCACTCAGAAGTTGAAGTCAAGGGCAAAGCTGTCACAGGATTATTATATAACCTCATGACCACGCAGCATTTGAAACAGAAGGGCCTGGTTTTTGAGGCGTTGTTGTAAATGTTGCCTTGCCATGTCTGTTCTTGCAGTGAAAAGGCAGTACATGTGTTTCTGTGATATAGAAAAAAAAAATCACGTGTAATGTTGGATGTACTTCTAACTCTGATCTTTTATTCATTTTGTGTGTGACTTAAGTAAGGGGAAAAATGACTTTCAGATCCATCCTTCTATTAAGCATTAAGCACCATTTGTGTAGAGATTTTGAAATTGATTTTCAGATGGAGTTAAGGAGATATTTTGCAGAAATAATTAGAATGGATTTCTGTAACGACCATCCTCCTCCTCAGACAGTTGATGAATGAAATGCAGACATTATTGAAGTTTCCATTCCCCTGGCAATCTGCTCTTTCTGTCAAGAATATAAATATTTAGAAACGCTCTTAATGCTTTCTGTTTATTCCGGTCACCTCATCATTACTGTCCCCTCAGGCTGCAGGAGAATTTCCACTGCTAGCAATTACCTACTACAATTTCCCCAGTTTCAATAGAACAATTCCAAAAATAAACATTTTTGACACAGAAGTCCAAGGTTTCACCTTCAGTCAGGGCTAAATTAATGTTGTGTAAAAATATTCTTGTTTACCCCTCTAATTAAAGACTGTAATTGAATCTCAGTTGTTCAGGTAAAATCTATTGTGTAGGCATCCAGAACCAAAATGATCAAAATGATGGTGTTACTGTTCAAACATTTTCAGACCCAACTGTATAGTTCTTTGTCTTTTGAAGATGTTGTCAGGAGGTTGTTGGTGTAGTGATAACTTGACCGTGAGCATACTTCCTTGATTATTCATGTGAATGTGAGTGATTGTTGATAACAGTGACTTTGTACATATCATTAAGGTTTCCATGGTAGTCCTAATAATCTGTGCAGACAGATACTCAACATGCAATTAAGCTCAGTCCTCTAGCAGACTCATTAGTGCTATCCTTAATGTTGTTTTTTTAAAGGGGTATTTATAGAAATAAGCTACCCTGCTGTTTGGTTTTGGTTATTAGATACTCAGCAGGAGCACCTCTGCAAGAGCGAGCCTACTGCTTCTCATTTGTTCATTTTTGCTTGTTTATCTATTTTTCTATAGTCTGAATTTAAGCTTGGCAGAGCCATTTAAGATTGGCAGTCCTCCTCCTTCTGCTGTCCAAAAACAAATGTTGTATGAGAACATACAAACATCGCTCATGTGAGAAAATACCCCTGGTCATTTTCTGAATGCCGTGGCTAAGTAAGGCTACTTTTTGAAACCCTTAATTAGTAATCACCCAAATAAAATGCTGCAGACCCTTAAGAGTTTATTGGTGTGAACAGGTGTGATTTTCCTCTCAGCATAATCTCAGGACCACCTGTCATGCATAACAGCCCACTTTAAAGCAATTACAGCTTGCTAGAAAAGATTGACTCTATTGAAGGTGACAAACACTTGCAACTCAAACCCGAATAAGACATAGATGTCTGATTCTCAGGTGTATACTAAATATCACTTCTGGGACTCTTTGAGAGGGTGTTCTGTGACTGTTGTCTCTCCCCATAACAGGTGATATCCCGCTGGGAAGAGTACATGAGCAAAGTAAAACCAAAACAGGGCAAGAACGTGGAGGTGGAGGCTGTTGCTGCACACTTTCCTTTCCACAAGTACTTTTCCAATGCACCCCAGCCTGTGTTCAAAGGTCGGTCATATGAGGAGGACATGGACATCGCAGAGGGCTGCTATCGCCACATCAAGAAAATATTTACCCAGCTGGAGGTAAGAAGATCACAGGGCCAGCATCTCCAAGTGGCATGTAAACTGGTTACTTGAGTAAAAAAAATAGTTCGTCATTAAATCTAAAACTAATGTTTAAATACAAATTAAAATGAGCAATAAATATATACCCCTTTTCACTCAAACCCACATATAAGGTTTACCTGCTGTATTTGATTATTTTCATACCAGCTGTCTTTCCAGGTATTGCACATTCTCTCTTGCACAAGTAACTGCCTACCTGGCCCCCACATTAACAGACTGTTGTCAGCTAATAGTGACTATCCATAATCGTGGATGTGTTTATTCTGAGGTTAAAATTTCACCTTGCATGTTATGCCTGTAGATATGCTAATGGCTCTGTGTTTTTCTCTGTCACTCTTTTTCACACCCCTTCATGCTCTCAAACACAGCTGAAAGTCTGTTATTATTCCTTCTGAGCCCATCAAAGTGTTTCTGTAGGGATAACAAAAACATTTCAGATTTATGGGAACACCAAGGTGGTCTCCGAAAAGCAATAAAAAAGTTATTGGCTAGAGGTAATAACCCAACATGTGTCGTGACCTTGATTTATCTGGCTGGCCTCTGTATCACTGCATCACAGCACCTCCTCCCTCCTCCCTGAGCCTCACCCTTGCTGCAGTGTAATCTGTACACCCATTAAGAAGTATTGCTCTGTGTGGTGCAGGGTAGCAGAAGCAACATTGTGCTGAATATGCTTATCTGTCTACCTTTTCAAATGTAAAAGCAGTTTTGAATAAGCTGTCAAAGGAATATCCTAAGAATGTATTGCTAGGCAAACAGAGAGAGAGAGAGGGAGACAGTGTGCCTCCTGCGTTCATGTATAGACATCTGCTGTTTGCTCCTCTGCAATTCCACCGTTTCATTCCACTTTTTAACTTATTTTTGGTTCCCCTTTCCTAGTTTTTTTTTTAACTTATATAAATTCTAACCATCTTAATATCACTCCTCAACTCATTTGGTACCATGGGGTTTAAAAATAGACTTCATCAATATTCCATGTTTTGATTAGTTTAATATTAATGCTAAAATAGTAACACATTAAATATTTATACCATGGTGCTGTCCGAGTCTCCTCTCCTCCATCCCTACCCTCCAGAGCTAGTGTACCAACCTGAAAATAGCTTGCCTGTTTACCATTACTCCTCTTCTGTGCATCCCCCACAGCTTTCTGTAGTGTCATCATATCACCACCCTGAAATGAACTGATTTGTTTTTTGGGTTACAGAATCCTCCAAATTTTCCTTTACAGTGTAACCCATGTAAGAAAATCCCTGCTAAAGTGCTCCTCAAGCCACAGCTACTGAAAAACAAAATACACCCCACATTCTTCACAGGAGAGCCCTGCGGCTGGCTAGTCTCTATCACTGCATCATGGAAAAAGAGGACACTCACTTCTAATGAGAGAAGAAATCAGAGGGATTATGTTAATTATACATTTCATTAAAAAGTGGAGTACTGTAAGTTTCCAGTCATTTAGATGTCCATTATGACTTTGTTGAAGTTTAGAATTGTGGTTCATCTTCCGGGTGTCACTTTGAATTAGGCACTTCAGCAAAGAAAAGTAGAGTCAGTTGGAGAAATTCAAACACTTGGGCGAAAGATAAGCCACTCGGTGTATCGTGATGTGTGCTGACTGGATTTCTGAATATTGAAATGTGCTTTTTTAAATTTAAGATTCTATTATGTTACAAGAGATTTTTATATTAGCCATCATCTGTCATACTAATTGTTCATTAAAGTCATCCCCCACACTAGTATGAAAAAAACCTTTAAAAATGACTCAATACAGAATAAATGTCAGCAATTTTAATTCTTCGTGATAATATTTTACTTTTTAGTTCCCTATCAATCTGGTTTATAACATAGCTCTGTGACGTGAGTATCACTTTTCTTCTATCCTAAAAGGAATTCAGGGCCTTCGAGCTGCTAAGAAGTGGACTGGATCGCTCCAAATATCTGCTAGTGAAAGAAGCCAAAATCATTGCCATGACCTGCACACACGCTGCACTCAAACGTCACGACCTAGTGGAGCTGGGATTTAAGGTAGACTTAAAATACATTCCCAATAATCTGATTGTATTTTGTTTGGATGCAGTTAGTTCATTTATTGAAGTTACAGCAAGCTGTTCCTTTCTTTATTAGTATGACAACATCCTGATGGAAGAAGCTGCACAGATTCTGGAAATTGAGACTTTCATCCCTCTATTACTACAGGTAACCGAAATGCTAACTTGTTTTGACTGTTAATCTTGACTGAAAAATTATTCTCACAAAACCTGCCAGGATTTGTCATTGTGACTGGTTTGTGTAGTTTAATCTTTACATCAGTACCCTTTTCAAATTGACTTTCCCCATTAAGGTTTTCCTAATGGGCTCCATAAAAGTGGTGTTGGTCTCTGGTAGCTATGACTAACATTCTGTGTTGTAACTTCTGTTTACGGAAAAGATTATTAGGCACACCAGCCTATCCAGCAACCTTGCCAGAACTCCTCATTATCTCTCCTCACCACTGTGCCAGTCAGAGCCTTTGGCCAGGATCATTGTCCTCCACTTCCCTTTTACTACCAGCTTTTCAAACACAACCAGTGATCACACTTTAAAACAATCTTAGACAATGGGTGGGACATTAGATCTTTGTGAGGTCCAGCTCCAAATAACATCACTGCATTTTACAGTATGACACATTATATGTTTGTGTTAGAGTAAGCATGCCAGATGATGATTTGGAAATTAAAATGTAAACCTAAATTAACTGTTGCACCTTCACTGATCACTGTATATTGTCACAGTATCTCAATTTTATTATTATTATTATTATTTTTTTTTTTTACTGCTTGATCATCTTATGTTCCTCTATGTGCAGAACCCAGAGGATGGCTACAGCAGGCTAAAGCGCTGGATCATGATTGGCGACCACCACCAGTTGCCCCCAGTCATCAAGAACATGGCTTTCCAGAAGTACTCCAACATGGAGCAGTCTCTCTTCACCCGATTTGTGCGCCTAGGTGTGCCCACAATAGACTTGGATGCACAGGGCCGTGCACGTGCAAGGTGGGTCACCAAGCAAAATACAATCTCACTACCCACAGGGGCTCACAAGGATAAAAAAAAAAAAAACGTAATGTTTAAATGTAATTCGGAAACAGTTCTTTAAACATAATTGAATAGTAATTTAATAGTAATTATTCTTTCTATATACCTTTATGCTTTACAGTGCTATATTTTATGGATGCAAGTCAGTGGTCTTAACCTTGATTCAAAAAACTCAAACTTATTAACTTATTGCTTCAGAATGTTCAAGTTTGCATTAAACCTGAGCAGCTAAATCTAAGTAAGGCAGTCCTAAGCAATGACCATGAGACCTCTTACTGTTGTTGCTAAAAAAAACCTTTCAGACTGGCCACAGCGACAGCGAAATGTCCAAATCATTAGCAAACAGTTAAAAATAAATCCGTTCATTTTAGTATATTTAGTTATTGAGCCTTCGTCAAAAGAAATGTTTTTGCTTGGTAATGGAGCAAACATTTGTGTAGTAATGCCGGGCAAGCAGGATGGTCAGGCAGACTCTGTTTAAACAGAGTTGGGAAATGATACCTTTACTGGATTTACTGAGAAGAGCCCATCTGTTCTCTGACTGCAGACTGCAGAGCATAGCAACATAATCAGAATAACACCTGTTATCATGGTAACATGCACAAAAATGACAACACCAATGAAGAAAGATCAAATGCCTGAAATCTGGCGTTTTGTGCATCAGTTGTCTAAACATAGTATGAAGCAAGAAGAAGAAAAATCCTCTTGTTCTCTTTTGACATGAGAAAAAAAGTCCAGTCCAGATATTTGGGATGTTAGTTCACAGGACATAGCTCAGCCCAAGATGTGCTGCATTGTTTAAATAACTGAGGAAGGTTATTTCTAACCCCCAGAAATTGAATTGGAATGGAGAAATTGCAACATTTTTCTTTATTTACTGTAAAATTGATCTTGCATTTCAGTTTTAGTTGCATTAAACACAATAAATATATCTGCCTTGCCTTAAGCTGTGGGAACCCTGATTGTGCTGATTGATTAAAATTTCCAGTGGTCCTGTCAGGGAAACTGTATTACAGTAACACAGATGTGACCTAATGCGTGTTTGTGTTGCTATCTCACAGCCTGTGCAATTTGTACAACTGGCGCTACAAACACCTGGGGAACCTGCCTCACGTTCAGCAACTTCCCGAGTTTCAGGTGCCCAACCCTGGCCTGACGTTTGATTTCCAGCTAATTAACGTGGAAGACTTCAATGGGGTGGGAGAATCTGAGCCCAACCCCTACTTTTATCAGGTTAGTAGATCACACGAATGAACACACTTGATGTAATCCTTGCACATCCTTGTATGCCATTTGTCCAACATATTGCCAATATCTTAATACTAACTTTAAAAATGTAAAAACAACAAAGTATGAGCTACTTCAGTTGAAATAACTGAATACAAACAGAACACCATTATTATTTTGTGTATATATGTAGCACAGGTACAGAAATTGTTTGAATAGCTGAAATGGTTCATGTTACACAAGCTGTGGAACTACACTCCTTTACAAATAAACACGTTCACACTTCCAGCAGGAAACAGAAGCATATTCTCTCTAGCCCCCATTTCCTCTAAATTGGTTGTTGTACAGCAGTTCATTCATTTTTAAATTTCACTGGTTCAGCTACCAGTCCATATAATATATTCATCACTCTGCTTAGTGTGCAGCTAGCATTGGCTGCCCAGCACAGACCAGGCGGTTTGTCCTTCACACCGGAAGACGGACTGTGTTTCATCCTGACATTGCTGAGGCACAAAGACTGTGTCTGGGCACAGGGCAGGGTTGATAGGGGTGTTTACTTTTGCAGTGCACCAGCCCAAGAAGATCACATATTAGTGTTAAGTAAAAAAACAAAAAATAAATTACATTTCTCCAAGAAGAGAAATAAAATTAGTATAGCTTATAGAAATGTAAGATACTGTAAATAAAACATCCCCTGATACTTAAAAGAGTTTGTAGTAATCAGAGCCGACAGCACTGGATTTCAGATAAGGTATCCTGTGTAATGATTGAAATATCAAATTGAAGCTTTCAATTTAGAACCTGCATACCCATTAAGTGGATCATATTGCTTCATGAATCTTGCAACTACATTCACGCTGTGCACACTCAAGTCCCTAAAGCTTCTTATTGTTCTTAATTCAGCACCATGTGTGCTTCTCGCGGTACCAGGTCACATGAACCTCAACTCTATTTGCCAGTTGCCATTTTGAGTCTCCTCAAGGGAATCTCCTCAATATCACTCGTTATGCTTGACAAGCACACACACAGATGCACTTTCCTGGAAACCAAAGGGGATAAATTTGACACTAGAGGAGCAATTGTATCCAGTGTACACTGAATACATGTCGCTGCTGAACAAACACTGCCACAACCACTGCTTTGTGGTTGCACATGAACTGTGCAGAACCCATACACAAATACTGTGTGCACAAAATATAGTGCAAAGGGTCTTTTTCCCGTGCTTTGCCTCATTTGCTAAAGCTCTTTCCCTATTGAGTCTCAGCCAACTGATAGTACTTCACTGTTGTCAAATGGCTCATGAAGAGTAAGATGCCTATCTAAATCCACATCTTCTGTTTGGAAATTGCCCCCCTCAGCCACTAGGCTTGTTAGTTATAGACATTTCTGCTTTACAAGCTACATTTTAAATTGCATAAGAGCAACCTGCATGGTGGAGTTTACTTACAGGTAGCCTGAATTTATGCCTCTCGATATCAATAATGTTCTTGTATCTACTCTAAAGTGTATCTGTATGTAACCCTCTCTCCTCAGTGCATGTTTGATCATTCTATCCTATCTAGTCCTTTTGCAGTCACGAACCACTGGCTCAAACTTCAATGGCTTAGGTCTGACCTTGTAATAGTTGCCAGCTTCTTTTGGGGTTTAGGCTCTAGATCTGATGTATGTTAGACATGCAAATGAAAGACAGAAATCTGGAAGCGTCACAGATTTTTACTTGGATGTCTATTTAATTGTGTGTGTGTATGAGATATGCATTTTTGGCTTTTGCTACATGATTGTGGTTTTGTAGATGATCTGTAAATGCAGAGGATTAGAAGTAACTTTGCTGGAGAAGTAAGTTGCGATTTTTAAATATCTGTGCCATTTGTAGGCAGGTAATAAGGGACTAAGAACAAAGGATGTCATTGTTCTTGATGTGCTGACTCTAGTGCAGCTAGCTCAGGAACTGTTGATGAAGCTGCATACATTATTATCAAAGATGCGAGGCAGCAGTCCACATTTAATTGAAACTGAATGAATAATACATGGCGCTGCCTTTATTTCTTTTCTTTTTTGGGTTTTATTTGAAGGACAGAATGTAGCCTTGGAACCAGGGTGCACAAGCTCGGGAATTTGTTGATTGTTAATTTGGTGAATAACGTTTTACATGTATTCACATTGGGAGAAAAACTTTGATGTAGTTCTAGGTCCTTTGTAATTGGAAATGAAAGAGAAATCATTATAATCATTATATCAGATAGGTGTAGGTAGTAACATTGTAGCCATTGTCAGTGTGGTTATTTGAATGTGTGTTTCTATCTATCAAGCACAGAGAGCTCCTGTGTTGTGCATAGTGACAAAAAAGAGAAAAAACACATGTTGGTGAGCATTTTAAATGTACGTTAGGTAACCTTTTTCAGCGGTTAAATGCTTTTCATTGCCAGTTTCTGAGTGATTGCAACATAAAAAGAGACTGTCCCTGACTCTCTTAGTTGCCTCAGATTGACTGGGGACTAATGTCTGTGTAAACGATGGGGTTGTGATTTTCCATGAAAATTCCAGAAATCTGATGTTTACACTTGCTTCCGATCACTTCAGTGCCTCTCGTCTGCTCACAGTGTAAACAGAGAGCTTCAATAGTGAGTGGTAGCTTAGAAATGGACTCCAATATCAACAAACAAGTTGGCTAATTATTCTAAATTACTTAAGCTGCCAATTTTCTTTTAGCTAAACTTCACCATATTTGTGCAACATAGCAAATTTGCAGCCAAACACTAGCTTGTTAAATGTATCTTGCCTGCTTCACTATGTTATATATACTTCAATATGTATGAATAACATTCCCTTCTATGATGAACAAGCAGTAGGCCAATTCACTGTAACTTAGTTACACAACATGTTTCTGGTGCTGACGGCTGTTTCCTGTCAAAGTAAAATTTGTTGTCATTATACTAATACCCAGCTTATATACTGGTCTCATAACTGATGTGTAAAACACATGATGCACAGCAGTATACAACAGTGCAGGACAGGCTTATTTATGTATCATCACTTTTTTTGGCTGATGCCAGCAAATGGTGTGCAGGCATGTGTTGTGTGTGACCAAGAGGCTGCAATTTACTCAGTAGTCCCTGGTGTCATTATAAAATATGGTGGTCTGAGGTTATCAAAACCTCCTTTAACATGGAATTCATTAGGGACTGAGTTTCTTTTGGAGCCAGCTATAAGTGGCAGTTTGAGGGAATATGCATATGTGCCACTTTAGCACAAGTTTCATTTTTCAGAGGTTGGGCAGCAATGGTTGTTTATTTCAGCAATATGATGTTATTCTGACCAAGCTTTCTCTCTTTCTGTGTGTGAAGAACCTGGCAGAGGCAGAGTATTCTGTGGCTCTATACATGTACATGCGTCTGTTGGGCTACCCAGCTGAGCGCATCAGCATCCTCACCACCTACAATGGACAAAAACACCTGATCAGAGATGTCATCAACCAACGCTGTGCTGGAAATCCAGTGTTTGGTCAGCCCCACAAGGTAAGCACCATTTGAAACAAACCAATTAAGAAGCAGCAGTGTTTTATGTGTCATGTTATCAAAGCACAAGCAAGAGGTGATTAAATAAACACACTCCATTATTGGACAAGTTTTGTAGCAAGTACTGGGTTTTGCGAGTATTCAGTCAAACTTGATTATAAATGAATGATCACACACTTGAGGGTGATACATTAATCCCCTCTTGTGTCAAAGGAATCCATTTTTCAGTCAGACATGTTTTCACCACCTATATATGCGTAGGGCTACGACTAGCGTGTTGGAAACGCGTATCACACATGACATGGATAGTTTCTTCACACCTCCAGATGCCAGCTGCAGTTATTGCACCAACCTCTTATCCTCCATTGCACTGGGAAAGATATTCACAGCTCTCCAAGCATCTTGGAGGGATTTCCTTAGACAATACAGTTTACACATTAACATTAATGTGTAAACTGTATTGTTTGTCTGTTCATTTTAAGAAGAGTTTTATATTTGAACTGGAGTTTATCCATGTATAACTTAAAATACTATTTGAATTTTAGTGAATCTCAGTTTTTCACAGACAGTGGTAACAGGTAAAGCAAATTAGAGGTGTGCAAGTATTTGCAACATTTGTTTGACTGACTGTGAATACAGGGAGAGTCTGTTCATCCCTGAGGGATACAGTTAGGTTGTTTTTTCTTGCCTATATTATTCCCCCGAACTTCTCATCTCTCCTCTTTTCCTTTCTTTACAATGTGTTAAGTCAGCAACCCGCCGGCACAGTTTCCCATCCACTTTCTGTTTGTACTGCTAAATGCTTTTACTCACTAGCCTCAGGTTATGCTTTCCTCGCTCTTTATTTTTTCCCCCTACACACATTGTCTCACCTTTCTTCGGTCTCTGTTCTTTTAGGGTTTTCACACACTTAACAATGTCACAGACTCTTTCAGCATTCCAGTAAGAGTGCAGTGAAAATGGCATATTAACAGTTATATGGAGCATTGTTATGTCAGGTAGCATAGGGTCAGCAGCAGCACGCCTTCAGTAATATTGCGATCGGTTTAGTTTAGTTGTGCATATTTTTTGGTATTTCTTTAACAGCAGGAGTGTTAAAGTGAGGTGGCTCTCAGAGCAATAATTCAGGTATATTCTCTATTTTAGAAGACATGTATTTTTATTTCCCACAAATGCCCAGAAAATGTAAATAGTATGTAACTTGAATCTTTTTGTTTATCACACAGTTTTTGTAACGTTTACTGTCTAGATATTACTCATCTGTTCCTGCTGAGTACATAAAAAGTGAATCAAAAATATACATCGGCCGTTTTTGTCCAAAAGCAGGCAGACAGGAAGCAGGTTCTTCCAAGTATGATTGCAATTTGGAGGTTAGAATAGTGGTTTGTTATAGCGTCCACTGTGATTCAGTCTTTACTCATTCCATACTGTTGTGTCTGTATTTTTTGCTGTGCAACCCTACCTTGTTGTTTTGTTTTGAAGTACATTCCCTGCACTGACAGCTAGCCAGAGATTTTGCTTACCCATGTGAAATGTCCTGCAATGTCAAGACATAAAGCATCATTCATTGTGCTCATGGCCTTAGTCAGTATGCATGCCTAGTAATAAAGTGACAGGAGTGACAGGTTGTTAGATTTGCTGAGATGAAAGATGGCCAGAGACAGAGAGGGATGAAATAGAAAGAGGGGCTCTTGTGGGGAAAAATGCTGAGCAGCTGAAAGGTCATGGCGCTGAGCACTGTGTCCACAGTGTGTCTGACAGTGTGTCACAAAGGGTAAAACGGCGCAAATGTCAACATCCAGTTTACTTTATTGTTATAACTTTAATTAGAAAGAAAAGCAGAGGAAGGCCAGTTAGCACAAGTCACAGTGCCAGCGTCAAACATGCTTGCTCAAGGTTTTTACCAAATCCCAAACAACAGTTTGCGTAAATACAGCATGTGCGCAAATACTTTTTATTTATTTTCCTGAGTTTTACAGAAAATATCCATTTGGTTCTCTTTTCTTTGATGAAGAAGTGCTGGAAGTCTGACTGTTAGAGTTTGACTATTTAGTTAGTAAGAAGATACATCAACCGGGTCAAGAAGAGATGAATGCAGAGTGACAAAGTACCTATTTAAGGTTTCAGTCCTTATTCTGAATGACCCTGTGCAGTTGTAGAACTCTTCTCCTTGACCAAAAACACACAGCTTTCATATACTGAGAGCAACAGTACTAGCCTCTTTGACAACATGAAATGTGTAGAAAAGGTGTCTTAACATTTCCTAGCGTCATATTTTTTGTTGGGTTTTTTTCTTAGACAGGTCTGAAATCCTGAGACGCATGTAGACTTGAACACACAAGCAATACAAAGCTGTTAACTCTGGCGTCCCTGCCATTCCTCTTGTGAAAAATTGAATAATCCAGAGGTCTGACTTGTGCACATTCCCAGCAGTAATTACCATAAGTAAGACAGAGAAAATAAGATGGGAGAGATCAGTGGTTGATCATCATCTAATAGTGTGCTATTGTCTCCATAAGAAGAAGGCATGTTGGAAGAAAACATTTGGCAGTGCAATAGCTGTTTGTGTATCTCACAGTGTATTCGCTGTGTGTATTTCCTTATGTCCTCGGACATGCATGTGCTACAATGACACGACCTCTGTAATTCTCTCCCTGGAAGATTTCTCATAAATAACTAAACACCATGCAGAATGCTATACCTCGGGGAGAATGTCGACCCGGGCTTTGTTATCACTTTCTGTAGGCTAAGAATAACTCCCTCTCTAAAGAACCACATTTGCTGCAAACCAAGATTCACCGTTTCTCATGTGTCAGTACGTGCATGCATACCATGGATGTGTAATTTGAGCATACGGCCAACGATATCTCCTGCTATTGTAAAAGCAACATATTGTTGCCTCTGGCCTTGCACCTGTTCTACATAGCAACAGGGAGACGTAAATAAATACCTCATTAGTCCCATCGCTCTCGATTTTACACATTAACACACACACACACACACACACACACACACACACACACACACACACACACACACACAGTCTCCCCACATTCCCTTCCTCTTATCCAAAAGGAGTTTTGGAGAGGTTCACTGAGGGTTGAATTTAATAATAGGTGGTAACCACAACCACAGGATGATTTATTTAGCATGGCTAGTTACTGAATGCTGTAGTTCTGGGCCTGTATGGCTCCTCAATGGAATCTGATGTCCTATTGATCCATTTTAAAAAGTGAAACTATAAAGGACAGGCCAACCTCTTTCTGCCTGGCTATGAGTTTTTTGGTTTTTTTTAGCATGTGTCGTATGTAACTATACAGAAGCATTTTTGTACAGTACTTTAAAAAAAGGGACTTAATAACTTGGCTTTTAAACTCAATTTTTATTTGGTTCTGTTACCATTTGCAAGATAGGGGACACTCCAGCTCTGATGTGTTTTTCCTTGATCATTCTAATACTGTGCTATCAGATTTAAATCGGTTATTGATTTAACAATTATTTATATAGATAGATGGATGGATGTATATATGTGTATATACACAATGGGGATGGAAGGAATAATTTCTACCCAAGGCATAATCACTCAGTTATTAGTAGTTGATTAAAATAATTTAGCTCTGTTATTATAATTCTACTTAATATTTTTCCGGAATAATCTTTAAACATTGCAGCTTTTTTCCAAGCATTAACCAGTAACATCTCCATGTAGCTTCTAACCAAAAACAACAGGAGCACCCAGCTATCACACTATTTGCATTAACATAAACTTTTCAGTCTATAGTTACACACATGCTGTTTACACAGTGTAGACACTGTGTAATGTGATTTTGGACTCAGATTTACATCCCTAAGATATTTCTAGTCCAACTCGGAAACACCACTAAAAATAAACACAGAGTGAAGGCTATATGATCATGAAAGAGCTTGTGAAGTTGGAGCATATTCCATGTATACACTCTCCAACACTGTCAAGGCTGTGCACACTCAGTGTAGGTAGCACAGTATGAAAGTTTTCACATTTTTGCATCTCATCAAGACCAGTCCTTGTATCGAGTTTGAAGTGCACATGCTTTATGATAGCTTTATTACATAAAGTAACATGACTGACAAAGTCAAAACACAGCACAGTTCTTTATGTAGTTGAATAAGTACACTTCTCAGCAAGACAGGATTACTGGGGTATAAAAGCAAATTGGCTGACACGGGTTCCCTTTTGCTTAGAAAAAAAAATTCCACAGAGAAAGCCACTTCTACATTTTCTGTCTCCTTGAAATAATCTCTGATGCAGTCAAGTAGTTCCCCCTCCTCCTCCCAAGTGGCCCTGATTCCCAGGAGACCAGGTAAGAAGCTGCTGGTGGCAAATGCCCTTTAAGCCGTATTAACCCTGCTGGCTGCCCGTGTGGCCCACAGCGATAACGGCAGCAACAAGAAAGTACCTTGCCATCTCTTAACATTCACCCTCAAAAAAAAAAAAGAAAAGGCAAAGAAAAAGAATTTAAGACGGAAAGCAGTCTCGCTCATGTTTTTAAACATTTCAGCTAAATCCCTCCACCTACCTAAAATGCAAACACTCATTTACTTTGCAAAGCGTATCCGCTGCCGGAGCTTAGTTAGCATATCTTTGATATTTATGTGCATTTGTGTGTCGTGTTGTTGAATAATAAATATGTTTGTGTCTGTACAGATTACGACAGTGGACAGGTTCCAGGGTCAGCAGAACAACTACATCATCCTCTCCCTGGTCCGCACCAAAGCTGTGGGACACCTGAGGTAATTACTTCTTTGCATGCCAAGCAGGAAAAAAAGTATCTGATCCAAAATAGCCTTCAGCTCTCAGCAGCTATTCTTCTTTAAAATACTTGTGTAATATGAAATACACCTAAGATAAACATCCTCCAGGGAAATAACACTGCAGAAAAGCTGGCACTTAATTCTCGTGAGACAGCTGCTCTCAGGAGGCTTTCTCTTTTTGTCATGTGTAACTACTGAATAAAGTTTGCTGAAGGAAATAACAGTGTTGCAGTTTTGAGGTAAGTATGAGCTTAATTATGATGCAAGAAGGATAAAGGTGCTTAAGGACACATCTATGGAGCTGACTGTAGTTTTTGTTCCAATTAAGAGAAATAATTGTGCTCTGATGATTTGGTTGACAATAACTAACAAAGAGCTCAGTTCTGATCAAAGGCTGTAAAGCAGTCAGTATTGATGGATAATCACTGCTCTGTTACACGCCCCTTCATGGCATCTTCTTTCATTGGCAGCTTTGTTTTGTTTTCTCTCTGCTTTCTGTTCATTTGGCTATGGCCTCTTTGCCCCATGTCACTGAATTAATTTGTAGTCAAATGATCTTTCACTTCTCTGCTGCTGTGAGATTCCAACAACCAAGGGTTTTATACCAGGCATATGATCCACAGCACTTCTACTTGACATGCCGGCTGCTGGCTGTGATGTACAGTAGCTGCTGTTGCAGTTGCACTGCTCACAGCTTTATCAGAGAATTGGACAGTCTGCAAATTGGAACCAGAGTGCAAATTATAAGCCATTCCCTTTGTAGCTCTGTCCACCCCACCCATCACCGTGGCCATTTAGCTAGCACAGAAAACACTTAAAAACTCTATTTTGTTCTTCCTTCATCTCACAGATGGAGCGATTAATTGATGTAGCTGAAAATGAGAAACTGCAGCTGACTACAGAGAGGGGTACTTTATCTTGCTGGCAGTGCCTGCTCTCCTCTCTGTATCATTCATTTGATCTTGTCTTTGACTCGATATTACATCCCACCTTTTACACATTCTCAGTGTAGCAGTTTTTCAGTGCAGGGAGCGTACAATAGTTTAGAGCTTCTATTCTCCTTGAATAAGACTTTTGATAACACTGAGCTTTAAGGCCCTGAAAACCAAGCTGTCAATCACTGATAATGTTTGTGGTTATTTCATATAAGAATGTTTGAATCGACCTTTTTGTGATTATTCTGTCAGGCTGCATCAAATTTCAGATTTGCTTTTTTAATTGTTAATATTTATTGTTAACTGTGAGGGACTTGAATAAGAAATCAACCACCATGAGTCAGTCAGAATAAACCATTAATGTAAAATATAACAGAAAATGTCTAGTTAAGTCTGTTGTTATAGTTTTTCATAATGGTCATTCATATGTTGGCATCCCTGACAGCTTGTGAATGGTCAGCTAAGTGGTTGAGAGAGCAGTGCTTCATGGGAGCCCCTAGTGCTGTTCATTGTGTTTTTCTTATAATGGGATCACTGCGGTGTACCATTGGCTTTTACCTCGCAATCCTCCTCCCCCTCTCTCTCCCTGCCCCTCTCCTCATGGCAATCCGCAGCCGTGACAACCACAGGGGATGCAGCTGACCATATGATGAGCTGACCCTCGCTTTGACAGGGGAAGCATTCCCGTGATACACACGGGCACGCTCACATGCAGGAGCACACACTTTGACAGGGAGGCACAAATTCAGAGATGCTCTGACATGCACGAACACACATGTGGGAACACACACCGTCCACTTTGCCCTGTCATGTCACAGCACAGTCCAGGTGGGCGTCTCTCAGTAGTGCCATGTCCACAGGCTATCGTGCTTCATGATTGGTTCATCTGCTCCACATGTCTGTGCTCATTGGTCTAGGCAGCGGTAGTTTGTCTCTGTGGAAATGTTTCATTTTGTACCGTGCCCCCATTTTTGCCTGAAATGTGCAGTAATTTTCACATTAATCTATAGGCTGCTCACGTTTACTCACTCGTACCCTGCACAATGGCTCCCATAAGCCTTTTTGTCATATTCACAGAACTCATCATGCATATTGCAAAGATTAATCCTCTTAATCTCATGAAGTGCTCAGGTGGACTCCACATTTCATATTTTTGGCTATACTTAAGAGTAGGCGATATACAAAAACATGGCTGTGTGTCTTATTCGTCAGCATCAAAATAAAGACTTTTGCCAGAGATGTTTGAGTAAAAACAGCTTCTTTCTCAAATGCTTTCACCAATGTTTAATCTCACACCACAGACTTACAGGTCAGTTAAATGGTTACATGTTTTCTTTATAAGCAAATTTAACTGTGCAGATAACTGAGACAATATAAGGATTCAATAGGTTCAAAGGGAACACCCTTGTAAATGCCTCATTCTGTGGTGTTTACAGTTGTCCAAATCTTTCCCTCTCCTCATGTATGTGTGTTTTGTGTAGAATGCTAATGTACAGTATAGTGGGATGTGTACTACAAGCAGTGTTTTTGCAGGGGAGCAAAGAGACAAGTATTTTGGCTAGTACAGCAAGCCAGAGAAAGCTCAGAGAAACGACTGCCTCTGTCCTTAATCTCTTAATACTACTTGATGGCATACAAAAGTAACCTATTCCACCTACCCTTTCCCGTGCTCTCCTACCTCTCTGACTCCTTGCCTGCAGTGCTTATCCATGCCCTTTGTCTTCCATTTCTGTATTTCTCTCTTATCCTCAGTATTTTTCCCACTTAAGTAGTGCCGCTTATCCTTCACTAAACCTCTTTCCTCGTACACTACGCTGCCTTTTCTTCTCTTCCCCTTCAACCATTACTCGGTTCTTTCACTGTGATCTCTTCACTTCAGTTTTTGTTTTTGCCCCTATGCAGGATCTCTTTTCCTTTTTACAGTTTCACACATTTTACCACCACCCCTTCACGTCTTTTCCCCTCAAGTCAATCCTTTTTTCTGTCTCTCCACAGGGATGTGAGGCGTCTGGTGGTAGCCATGTCAAGAGCCAGACTGGGCCTGTACATCTTTGCCCGAGTGTCACTGTTTCAGAACTGCTTCGAATTGACTCCTGCCTTCAACCAGCTCACTGCCAGACCACTGCAGCTACACATTAGACCACACGAGTACTACAACCAGGAACAGCCTGTAAGCAGTCATACCCATGCTCATGCTGATCTCATAAAACCTACCATATTAGATCTGCCCCATTATGAGATATTCAAGCGGGAGATATGCTGATAAGAACTGAGCTTCTTTCCCACGGTTCAGGCCAGCGCCCATTTCCATAAAATTCGTGCCGTCTTCACCATCCCACCACGTCATTGCTGCTACAGCCCACTGGCTCGGTCTAATCCCCCCTTTTTATATTCTGAGTGGAATCTTCATTCCACTCAGAATATTGGTCCTCACTGGTCCCACTTCTTACTGCAGCTTTACCCAGTCTGGTAAGAGCATTCTGCAGACCAGCTGCAAAGATGAGAAACACAGTTATGGCTATAATTAACCTCAAAGGTCAGAAGACAAAACCACCGACTGACCAACATGAAACGACCATTGTCTGGTCACAGTGTCTCACTGACAGGCATGTTTGGCAACAGTGATGTCTAAAATACCCAATAGCCTCTCTGACACTGGAGTGTTCATCCCCATGGGGGACAGTTCTTTCGGGCACACACATGTGGCCCCTGCTTAGCCCATCTATCTAGAGTCAGTAAACCCCCGCTGCTTACACGCACATGCAGATTAAAAGTCAGACTTTGTCTAGCAACACTCAACTGGAAGTGTCACGGGCTATTTAACGGTGCTAACTCCAAAGCTGCTATAAAAAAACAAAGCTGCCTAAAGCTTCATATGGAAACATTCATATTCGATCTATAATCATATGCAGTTATCATATTCTCTCCCCCCCAGTGTTTTTAATGAAGGTTTTACTGCAGTGAAAGCACACAAAGTTAAACTGTGGAGTTGTATACTTTGACATGATGCCCCCAGGGCCTCTGTGGGCATCTCCCCTGTATTTAAGAGGCATCCACCAAGCAGATTGAATATTCTGCTTGCCTCAGTCTTCAGTTTAGCCTGCAAGACTCTGTCTGCATACTAATATTATCAAATTAAAAACTCTGCATCCCTGACTTCTTTGGTAATACATGAGCAGTGATCACTGGAGAGGGAAATTTGTTTGAAATAACCAGCGGGTAGCAGTGGGCTGCTGAATTGTAATTTCCCTGCACATTTTACCTCAGATCAATACTTAACCAAGTCCGTGTGCCTGAAAGAGTGATCCCTAGCAAGACCGATAAAAGTTCTTCATTATAATTCCTCTCTGATCGCATCCTGGGCTGAAATCAAACTTCTTGTGTTTCTACCTTTCAGCGAGATACTTCTGGACAGCCCGACCAAATTGTGAAGAACATGCCGGAAATGGCCAACCTGGTGTATAATATGTACATGCACATGATCCAGACCTCCCAGCAGTACAGACAGGTAAAAACCACAAAGTGGACTGTGTGAAAGGAGCCATATAAGTCAACCAGCAGCACACCTACTATGTTTATGATACTGCGATATCATAAAAGTTTCTTCTGCGATACACCTGAGGCAGTTTAAAAACTGGCAACCATCCTGCGTTGACACGCTTACAGATGTCATCAACTTTCCTGGCAGCTGTCAGCGCCTGTCCCCAGCTGCCATTTTTGTATTTTTAATCTTTAACTTTTAATGGAGTACAGTAAATAGGTCAGATGTAAGAAATGTAGAGAAGGAACGGGCTACACAGAAAAATGTAGTTTTTCAACATACATTTATCATCATTTATAGAGAAATAATAGTAGATACTAAAAACATGTGTACTTAAAAGGAAGAGACATTTTATTATAAAGCTATCTCTATTAAAATACCCTCAACAAAGAATATGTTCCTGTAGATACACCGATATTTCAAACACTTATTCACTACGCTGTTACGAACACCTAAATCCAACTAATGCATTTTGAGTGCTGCAGTAAATCCATAAAGATAGTGATGTTTATTTTTTCCTTCATATGCGTAGACGTGTGTAATGTAATAGACGTTTTAGAGGCCGCTGTTCATAGTGGTGTTCAGTGGCATTGTGGTAGACTGACAGGCTCTGCAAAAAGAACTTAAAGAAAATTGCAAAGGATGGACTCCTTGCAGGGTTTTTGTATAAGATTACATCAGTTTTGGCCGTGTGCTCTTTATAATCAGTTAGCTGAGTATATTTGACAATATAATGCCAAAAAAAGTGGAAATATTTTCCTTTGCGTTTTGAACATTTCCCTTTTCTTTTGGCTTCTCAGCAGCAACAGCAAGAACTGGCTCTGCCTCCAAAACAGACCCAAAAAGATGCTGGCGCTTTGTCGACCACTGCTACATCTAAGGAGCCACAGGAGGAAACCCCCATGGAGCAGGAAAACCCAGAAGGAACGGCGAGCACAGAGCCAAACTCGGAGGACGCCAGCGAGAAGGAAGGAAACAAGGATACTGACGGCCATGCTAAGATGCCAGAGCATCCTGGTAGAGACAGCGACAGCGATGGAGAGAGCGCAGATGAGCAAGAACAGTAGAACATCCTGACATGGGACTACCATAGAGGGACCAAGTGGATCCCCTGAAGAAATATGTAGTGCTTAGTCACCTATTTTAAATCTGTTTTCTACTGAGAGAAGATCATTGTGATGTTTTGTTATTTTTTCTAAAACATTTGATTTTTGTTACTATCAGTACTTTATTAAAAAAAACTATTCAGACTGTGGCATCATCATTATACTAATACCATTCTATGAGTGTCCCACACACAACCAACACATACAGCTCTGTGCTAAAGTATTAATCCACTCCTCATTTCTTTATATGTTGCTAAACGAAATGTGACGTAAGTGCAGTGATTTGTTAGAATGTGCAAACATTTATATAAATACAGTATATGAGTCAAAAAAATTTGGTAAGACCACCTCTATTCTTTAAACAGCTTGAACTCACTTGTAATTTTCTTAAGTCATCTCCGGGCTTCTTGAAGGACATTCAAAGCTCTTCTTTGGATGTTGGCTGCCTTTTGTTCCATATCTGTCAAGATGATCCGGGCTCTCGGGGATGGGTCAGTCCAAGACTGATAGTCAAAGGAGCTTGCAAAGAAAAGCGTCTGGACTTCTTTAAGTTGCTTGAAGACGTTTCACCTCTCATCCAAGAAGCTTCTTCAGTTCTAAGGTCAAATGGTGGAGAGTCCCAGATATAAACCTAGTGGGAGTATCCCCCCACAGAGGGACAAAAGACCCCCTGATGATCCTCTAATTGCCTGAGCCAAGGTGTGAAACTGGGTGTGGGTCCCAATCAGCCAGAGTTTCAGGTGAGTTCATTGTGAAACCTGGCCCCACCTTATCATGCGAATTCCTGAGGTCAGATGGCCCAGGATGTAAGTGGGCGTTAAGGCGTCTGGGAAGGGATCTCGCCCACTCACATCGTGGGCCATAGAGGATCATCAGGGGGTCCTTTTGTCCCTCTGTGGGGGGATACTCCCACTAGGTTTATATCTGGGACTCTCCACCATTTGACCTTAGAACTGAAGAAGCTTCTCGGATGAGAGGTGGAACGTCTTCAAGCAACTTAAGGAAGTCCAGACGCTTTTCTTTGCAAGCTCCTTTGACTACGATGACCTGGATGACTGAGAACCTTCACAGACATACTCCAAGACTGATAGAAAAACGCACAGAGAAACACTATCTTAGTGCACTGGCAGTGTGTTTGGGATCATTATCATGCTGAAAAAATATGATATTTCCAATCACATACTTTTCAGATGGCATTTCATTGTGGATTAGAATCTGATGGTACTTTCCTTTGTTCATAATTTCATCAATTTTGACAAAATGTCCAACACCACTGGCTGAAATGCAGCTCCAAACCTTGAGAAGTCTCCACTGTGTTCTACAGATGTCTGCAAACACTCACTGTTGTTCCCTTCCCTGATCTCCTCTACGTACTTAAAAGGATTTAAACCAAACATTTCACATGTTTGGAGTCATTGCTCCAAAAGACCTGTCGTCACTGAGTTTCAGTCCATTTCTCGTGTAATTTGACATACCTTAGGTTTTCCCCATTATTTCCCTTCTTTTAAAAGATGGTTTCTTTGACTGATAGAATCTCTGTCATGATACTTTTATATATTCATCTACTTCATTCTGCATAAAGTACAGCTCAGATTTCATTGGTTGAGCCTGTATCAGCAACAGAAGCTCCAAAAAAGCTTCATTTGTAGGTCAGTCACTATATCCAAGTGTGCGTGTTGGGGGATTTCAAGTTCCCTTCTGTATGTACACAGTCAACCAGCAAGCCTTAAATTATCTGCCATTCATGATTTGTGCACTAACAGCAAAGTGTTTTCACAGCTGAATAAATGTTAGGGTTAACATATGATGACCAGATTGAAGAAAACAATCAAGCAGGCAAACTATATATGTTGCCTTAAAACAGCCGGAACTTGGTCATTTAAACATCAATAAATTAATTAAAACGAAGAGGTTAGCACAGCCCACAACCCTGCAGGCAAAAACACAGACTGGAAATTAATTCACTGTCATGCACCAGAGCATTTTATTTTTATTGTTACATCATACCTCAGGCAGGTTGATGGAACAGGTCAGCTGCACAGCTGCTTGTGCCTGGGTTGGTTAAAAGACCTGATGGAGAACCATGTGTTGCTGGATGTGGAGTAACATCAGTGGAACTCAGTCAAGTGTGGAGTCATGAAACGTCTTTCTTATTTCCTGTCTCCTGAGTGCAGGGCACTCTGGGTTAAGGTATAAAGTAGGTATTCTGGAGTCATAAGACATGTGTTTCTGCTGGCTAAGGAAAGGATTAGAATGAGTGGTTGGATAAGAGGTTACCTCTGTTGGCTCAGGACTTTGGGCACATATAAATTGCTGAAAGTTTTGACATGGAGCCAACAACAATATCTGTGTACTGTGTCACATAAGGATTAAATATTTTATAGGTTTTACGCTAAGAGTGAACAACTAACCTAGGTGCAGATGTATCAAATATTCTGTTGCATTACCAGCTCCTAGAAACCCATGACACCAGGCATACTTTTCTCTTGAGTCACATGAATGTCTGCATTGTGTAATATCCTGCCTCTATTAAACTTCTGTTTTCAGCTTGCCTCATGAGAATTTAGTTGCCTGTGGTACCTTGTTGTAGTAAATTAGAGCTAACTGGTGGGACGTGGCTACTGCTCGCACACACACACACACACACACACACACACACAATCATCATCTCTGTGAATCTCCAGGAGGATCTGGGAGATTTTCTACAAGCAAGAAGGAAACCAGGTGCACACGTCCTCCAGAACCGTTCTTCTTTCCTGCTGAAGGTGAACATGTCTTTTGTACTCACACGGCAGGTATTCATTGGGTTAATAGCTACTTTGCAAAGCTCTCAATTCTAACCTTTGCTAAGGGCTGATTCATGAGTGAGACTAACAGCATGCAGTCACACTGTGTTGAATAATCAATAGCGTTTTATGGACTTGTAAGGTGAATTTAGAGGTTCTGATAAAATTGACATCTTTTAATAGGTTCAGATTTAGAGTGGAGGTTTATTTGTGTTTGGTATTTGGTTATTTAAAGGTGCTTGGGATCAAATGCAACAATGCAAAAAAAAAAAAAAAAAAAAAAAAAAGCTGAAGAAGAGGAATTTTAAGTATTTTCACATCATGTTACTGTAATCATTGTACTTTAGTGGTTCCTCTACCTCGTCTTTTTTTTTTGTTTGTTTTAAGTGAGAGCGTTTACCAAAGCACGGGATCCACCATGGGACACACTTGTGTTGAATCTTTAATCTATTGCCCAACACTACGTGACAGCGGTGTCACAACAGGAAATTACACATTACATAGAGTCAAGACAGCAAAGCCTGGAGGGGAAGAGGATCTGACCATTGTGTCTTAAACCTAAACTAAGCTCAAGGAATCTGACAACACACAACACTTTCACACTCGTAAAACCATCAGTTTTACAATCTCAACTTCAAGGCTTGTCCTTGAGGCAGATCTTGTACAGTTTTATTGGACAAAAACATTTACAGCCTGATTGCTCAGGCATAAGATTGCATTTTGTAAAATAAAAAGCTTTTCTCATAATTAGGTTTTTACATATTTTTGCTGCTATACTACTACCAGATGTATGCACACTTTGCACAGTACAGTATACTTGTTATGAGTTATGAACTCTGCTGATCTGCTCATAGTGGCTGACTAATGTGCCTGCACAGGTCTTCAGCATTGTGTAAGTATTGACCTCCAGTGGGTATGCAGATCTGGTGATTACAACCAGCTTATCGTGCTTTGTCAAGACTGGTGCCTAATCCTGTACATACAGATCATTGACATGACACATTTCAATCTAATAATCTCCTATCATCACTAAAGAAGCACTGCCGCTCACAGGAAACACAGTAGCCACTGAGGTGACTGACCCACTATTGTATGCCATCTAAAGTGCTCTTTACAGCACAGTGTGTTAGAGCTGTTTAACTAAAGTAAAAGCATTTGCCTTTGGAAAGTGTGCCCACCTTGGGGGAAATTATCATTCTAAGCTTCTTCTCTTTTTTTCCAGACTAAGATGGCCACTTGCGGGTCATGTTTCTGGTGCATCATATGGCTCATTGTTCTGCTGTTCATTGGCTGGCCCATCAGCATCGCTTTAGGGGGTCTCTACGGCCTCATCAGCCCCCTCACCACCTGCCTTGGTCTGGACCGACTGTCTGATTTACTCCTGGAGGGAGCTAATGTGGGCAGAACCTGTGCCAATAACATGAGGCACAGCAAGCCTTTGTGTTGAAAATCCATCCTGTCTGATCAGGACCAGAAAAAACAGAGGTCGAAGCCTTCACCTCAGGAAGAACTGTTAATGTCTGATTTATGTGGAGCTATTCCAGCACGACTGGTGCACAATTCCCTGAGAAACCTTCCAGCAACTTATATCACAATAAGGTCCAGAAAGTCCTGGAAAATTGATTCCTCTCTCACTGGTAACATGTAATTAACTACAGATTTTAAATTTGCATGGGTTTGTCAGGAAGAAAATAGGCTTGCGGTGCATGGTCTGTGTTTGCTGTTTAATTCACGATGACGCTGCGTGGAGACGATAAGAACGAAAATGCCAATTTAACAATGAAAATATTTAGACTTGGTAATGTCTGTATGGAAATATATGGAAATGCGATTAAAACTGCTTTGAACTTGCCCTTCGTGTTTGTTAATTGACTTTTGGTGCACATATTTTGAGGAAAATCCATGCTGTGAAATACTGAAAGTAAATGGGGAGAAAGAGAGAGCTGCAGATTTGAACAGATTCATTTTACATTTCCTTCATTGAGTTTCATCTACCTGTGTTTTATTAGGGGGTCGCAGATGTTTGAGTCTCATCACAAAATTAATTAAATTGAAGTCAAGGAGACAATATTGAGACATGCTTTCTAGGTCATGCCAAGCTCAACACAGCTTTCCACACACGATTTACTTTCCAGCTAGCTTTCTTCTGATTGGCTGCCCCTCACAAACAGTATATGTAGGTATGGACAGCAGGTAAGTGGGGCTTTGGGGCTCACAACCATTGCCATGTTGCTAATATGACCACATTAAGGATATCCCTTCTCTTTGACATCATACAGAGCTGAGACCTGTCTGTTTAATATGAGCTTCCACTGCTAAACTAAAAGTATGCATACGACA